GATCCTTTATACCAGGGGTCAGCAAGGTTTATCTTGCCTGGGCTGGATCAGTCCTGCAGAGATCCCTCCATGGGCTGGATCGTGTGCGTGAGCGCGCCCGCCTGCGATTTTCAGCATCTGCGATTTTCTGCACCGCAGAAGTGAGTCCCCGCGCCACACTGTGCCGGTTTAGCACGGCGTGTGAGCGGGTGGCTCGGTTTGGGGGCAACTCGTGGGCTGGTCAAATGACCTTCGCAGGCCGCTTCTGGCCCAGGGGCCTTAGGTTGCTGACCCCTGAAGGAGCATCTCCACCCCCATCGTTCAGCCTTGACACTGAGGTCCAGTTCCGATAGTTCTGGTAGTTACAGGGAACCAGGCAGAGGGCCTTCTCGGTTGTGGCACCCACCCTGTGGAACGCTCTCCCATCAGATGTCAAGGAAATAAACAACTATCTGACTTTTAGAAGACATTTGAAGGCAGTCCTGTTTAGGGAACTTTTTAATGTTTGATATTTTATCATGTTTTTAATATTCTGTTGGGAGCCGCCCAGAGTGGCTGGGGGCAGGGTATAAATAAATTGTTGTTGTTGTTAAACAGAAACACTGGCTATGTCAGGGATAGAACCCGGGATCTTAGTGCGCTCTGTTGTTGCGCCATGGTACTGGAGCCGTGCCACCAACTCACCAATGGCAAAAAAAATAGTGCAGAAAACAAGGAGGCCCACACATACTTGCGATGATTTGTATGGGATTGGGCTTTCTGCTAAGAACCAGGTTTGTTGTCAGCCCTTAATTTTGTGTCTCTGTTGGCATTGGCGGCATGAAGTGCCTTTCACCAGCTTAGGTGGCAATGCCTCCTGGGCAGAGATAGCCTGATAGCTGCTATTGATGCCCCAGTGACATCCAGGATAGACTACTTCAATGTGTTGCACGTGGGGCTGCCTTTGAAGGCTACCAGGGAATTTCAGGTTGGTTCAAAATGTGACCAATGTGACCGCTAATCCCTACAGCAACCCTGTTGGGGAGGTTAGGCTGAGAGGTGCTGACCGGCCCAAGTTAGTCTTGTGAACTTCATGGCTGAATGGAGATCTGAACCCTGGTCTCCCAGGTCCTAGTCTGACTCTGTAACCACTGCATCCCACTGGCTCTTAGTTTGGAGTAATCAGGGCAACCAGTTACTCAATGGACTGGTGCAACCCCAGTTTTATTCTTTGGCGAACACTCGTACTCGAGTAAGATTGTCTTCCATGAATATGGTCTTAACAGCGTGTCTGTGAGTGACTGTGGAGGCCAATTTTGGATCCACACGTCCTTCCACAGTGGGAACATAGGTATTTCTGTCTGTGTATGTGTGTGTTTGTATGCAGGTTACTCCATGCCGTTCCTATAATGATAGTGCCACTATTGTTGATCTAGACTGCATTACGGAGAACAGGATCTTCCTGTTCAGAAAAGAAATCCCTCGCAGTTGTGCCATCCACTCTAACAAGCTATGACTTAGCCTACAATCCCCTGTCCCTTTATTCTATTAAGTAATCTATTAAGGTCAAAGGAATTGCCCTAGTCTAAGTGAGTTGTGGATGTGAAGTCTTAATCTCATAATTAAATGTATGTGATAAGGTATCTCAAGATCAAGGCCAAGGGTTGATATGATGCCGCATATGTGTGGAGGGGAGAATGCTCTCCTTGTGTGTGTAAATATACCCAATAACCTCTCCCAGTCCACATATGTTTTAAGCAATGCTGCCAGTTGCATTGTTAGTTCTCTAAGCTGACATCTCACATACTTTTATGTGCTTATTTACGCAAGTTTTTGCAAAGCCAACATTGCACACTAGTTTAGCTGAATCTGTTGGCATTCAGTTTCTCGTTATTGCGACAGGCAGACAGCAATCTTTTCAAAAGCTATAATGTCTCCACGGAAGAAGCTTGTCGATGTCTAGAGGAGCGGTTCTGCTATTCAGGGTGTAGCATATGGTTTGGAATTAAATGGTGTAGGCAGGAAGAATTCCTGCAGCTACACTGGGGTTGATTATTTTGGTTGTGGGCTACAGTGACCCTAATCCAGTGAAGGAGGGGTGTGTGTGTGTGTGTGTGTGTGTTTGCTCACAATTGCAAGTTGTATTGGTGTAAGAAGCGCTGGAGAAGGCAAGGAGCCTGGTCCCACCAAAACCTCTTTGCAGCCAACGACAAATAATGGCTGGCTGCCCGCCCAATACTTCCAGAGTATCTTTTGTATCTTCTGAGCGTCTCCCAACCCTGACACAAAGAAAAAAGGCCGATCCCCATTGTTCCTCTCCTTACTTTATCGCCAGAGGACTTGGGGGGAGGGCTGGGAGCATCACAAATAACGGTTGTCTAGGGATGAGTTCCAAAACTGTGTGCCTCTCTGTACGGTTTCCGTCTAGGGGAATAAAGCAAAGAACTTTAAGCAGGTGCCATTGGAGGGAGTTGCTATTCATGCAGTGGAACGGGCTCAGCGTGTTTCAATGTAATGGGAAGTTCCATACATAAAGAAACGAGAGTTTTAGCTAACACAGAACATGCCTCCCGATGCTTCTTCTTTGAAAAGGTGGCTCAGAACAGCAAATCATCGGCTTTCAATCAAATGTTCCGCCTCTGTGCTTTGAATGGCAGCTGGGTCTGCAGAAAGCAGCACACAGAAGTTGTTGAGGGGATGGAGAGCATTAGCAAGGCCTTTTGCGCATTGCTAGCGAAAAGGGGCAAAGTCAGTGTTAGAAATTCCCCAGGCGCCAGGCATGTTTTGCTACTGGTGTGAGTCCAGTTGTGACCACGTGGAGATTTCTGGATGCCAGAGTGGCAGATGACATCTCCACTTGGCTGGGCCCTCCAGCTTTCTTAAGCTGCGCCCCCACAGAAGATTGTCCAAGGGAATGTGGTCCTCAGACTGAAATCTAATCCCGTATCTGATCCAATAACCTGCTTTTAGCAGGGGTCAACAAGCTGTCTCTGGCAAGCTCACCGTCACCATACTGGTGCTTTTTAGTTCAATTCCACCCCCCGCATTTTAAGACATTCCCTGGTTTAAGGTGGTTAATGTTGCCATGGTAATCAGATTTGCTTTCGCTTGAACTGATGTTTTCTCTTGTGAATTGGCGTGCATTTGTGTGTGGGCTAAGCCACTGGCTTGAACAATAAATCTGAATGTGTCTTGGGAGTCTTCTTCTTTGGCTATCACTCTTAGCTGAGTAAGATTGGTTTCTATGAACACGGTCTTAACAGTGAGTCCGTAAGTGACTGTGGAGGCCAATTCTGATTCCACAGTGGGGACATATGTTTCCAGACAGGAGCTGATCATGGTGAGGGTTTGCCAAACGTGCCTTCCTCTTAGCACGTTTCTCCCTTTCATCCAGAGTTTGAGCATCTTCAAAACCCATGACACCTTTGGTAAAGGCTGTGCTCCAATTGGAGTACTTGTAGGCCAGAGTTTCCCAATTGTTGGTGTCTATACTACATTTTTGAGATTTACCTTGAGAGAGCCTTTAAACCTCTTTTGTTGACCAACAGAATTCCATTTTCCATTCTTAAGTCCGGAATAGAGTAGTTGCTTTGGAAGACGATAATCAGGCATCCACGCCCATCATTCTGCCCGGACACTGAGGTACAGCGCCTAAGGCCTTCTGGCGGTTCCCTCACTGCGAGAAGTGCATGCCACGATAAACCATGGTTTATTGCGATGTGAAGAAGCGGCCATTGTCCACAATCTGTACCAGTTGGAAGAGCAAACCGCTTAAAGGAAAATGCAAACTATGTCATGAAGTTGCAGAGTATTCTCCTCCCCCGTTTTTTTATGTAACGGATTCACTGTTCTTTGCACGTTGGCTTCGAAGCAACCAGAAAATTCTGCAAATCAATGGATGAGCTGTTGCTGTGGGTTGTCGAATTCACCATTAGTCACTCGATAAATCCACCTGCGGTTCCTTCTGCCAAACTCTGCGAGGGGATCCTGGACTTGCATCACCAATTACCAGAGGCAAGAAGAGGCTTCTCTCCCCCGCAACATATACCAAAATTATCCGTCACTATATATGGTGCCTTTGTGTGGATTTTAATTGAAAGTTGCTCTGGGAACAGGTGTTGGCTGAAAAGCAAGGTGCAACGACATATATTTATAAAGTTCCACTGATTTCAATGAGACTTCTCACTGAAGTGCTCATAGGATGTTTTTCATTGTATTTATTTTGACTTATTATAAAGGTTTATGCCCTGCCTTTCAATAGCACGTTCACGGTGCCTTACAAAATTTCAAAACACGTTCAAATGAATACAGAACCTATTGAAAACGCTACCCTGTCTACACCCCCCGCCCAAACAAAATTGGTTGGAGCAGAATGGAAACTGGGGCTGTTCACAGCTGCACCCCACTTCTTCATTGGACCAAGCTGGGAAGATGGTTTTTCTTTCGGCTCACCCCCTTTTAAATGTGACAGAAAGGTGAGCCTCTGCACTCAGCAGCTGCTTTCCTAGTAGGGTTTTAATTTTCTTTTTTAAAGATCTCTTAATGGTGCTGGGAAAGTTGCTGCATAGTATGTGGTTCCCAGTAATGTGTGGAATTCAACATGGAACCCCATCATTTCATCGAATAGTGAGCACTTCCACCCCAAACTTCCTCTGCTCCTCATCCAAATTCCTTTAAAAAAATTATTAAGGTTTATAGATACAATAAAAAAGAGAAAAGGGGGGAGAAATAGGGAAGGAAAATGAAAAATAAAAAAGAGAATAGAGGTTAAAAGAGAATGATAGTAAGATTCAGAAATAGGGAAGGAAAACGAAAGAAATTAAAAAATGAATACAATAGAGGTTAAAAGAGAATGATAGAAAAGTAAGATTCACAAAGATTCACAAAGTAAAGAACTTCCGATTCTTCATCTGTCCGCTATATAAAAACAATATTCACTTGGTCCAATCCACTATAACAAAGCCACTTTCTAGAAACAAACATTATCTTCAGCCCTCAAATCTGGATGTTGTTTTTCACGCAAAAAGTCCGTGAGAGGTTTCCAATCTTTAACAAAGGTTAACAACGGCTTTTCTCTGATTAAGCATGTCCCAATCCAAATTCCTGTCTCCCTCACCTGGGGGCTTTCGTCTGAGCTGTGACCGAGCCGTGATCAAACTGAACTAAAATAATAAGGTAAAATTGAATCAAAAGGTCAGAGAGAGAGAGAGAGAGAGAGATAGATTTCTTCACCTGGGACCGAGCTTCCAAGTAGGTGCTTGGCAGTCCTCTCTAGGGAGTGGAACTTGTTCCCACAGGAGGCAATGAGATAGCCACCAAGCTAGGTGGTTTCTAAAGAGGATTGGACAGATTCAAGGAGGAGAGAGCCATCGAAGGCTGTGCTCTGCTGCCAATGTTGGAGGCAGCAGTCCTTCTGAAAACAGTACCAGATGCTAGAAGCCACAGGAGGAGAGAGGGCTCTTGTGCTCGAATCCCACTTGTGGGTTTCCCACAGGCATCTGGTTGGCCACTGTGAGAACAGGATTCTGGTAGGCCATTGTCCTGATCCAGCAGGGTCTTCTTATGTTCTTATGTGGTTATGAGAGCGGTCTACAACCACCGCCATGGAGGAAACCTTTACCTCTGCTGCCGCCGGCCATATCCCAGATGGTGGTTGAACTTAAAGGAAGGCTTCTGGTGCAGATCTTAATGTACAGGCATGCAAGTGTGGAGACATTTCCACCTGGTCCCAAGCCATTAAGGGACAGCTGGAGAACCCGTTCCTTGGTCCCTGGCCATTGGCCATGCTGACTGGGGCTGATGGGCAACTCCAGTACTTTTTTTCTGGGGGTACGCAGGGGTTCACATACCCCTAAACCTTTTGCGAATCTTCGTACATTTGTCCATTTACTGTATTCATTTTTCCCAATTTGAACTATAAAATGATGGTTTTCTCGAGTCCCCCTTTTCTTGAGTCCCCTGTTTTCTTAGAGTACCCCTAAATATTTTTTTAAAGAAAAAAAGCCCTGGGCAACTCCCACCAACATCTTAAGGGCCACAAGTTCTCTATCATTTAAGGGCTTTACGTTGAAAATCAATTGAGTAGGGTCTTGTTGCCAGATTGCATATGTGTCACAAAGCCTGGCCCATAACGCATCTTGTTTCTCGCTAATCTGAAACCATGGAAAAGCATATTTGTTTCCACCGGCACGATAATTGTTCGCATGAGCACAGATTGCAGAGTATAGTTTTCAGAAGCAGAGACTCTGAGGAAGATGAGAGCATTCACGAGAGGATAACATTTTCAAGTTATAAAATGATAATAGTATTGTTTGTTCTCTTGCATTTCTCTTTGACGTGGAAATAAGTGTGCCATCTGGAGAGTTTCACATCTAAAACTGCATGGGGGAAAAGAAACCCATACTGATTCGGATTCCATCAGAGGATTCTCTGTTTAAGGCTCTTCCTCACCACCACCTCCATTTGCCTTTGTACATGTGTAAATCATTTATTTTTCCATGCCTAACGGTAGGGCAGCACAACTTTTCAAAGCTCAGAGTAATTGTTTAAAATATCCTATGTTGCCAAATGGCTGCTCAGTATAGACATTTTATTTCCCTGAAATACAATGGAAGGAAGCTGGGTATCAGGATGCTTTTGTATCGAGAGATTCACTCTTGCAGGGTTCAGCTATAGCAGTTAATTCTTCTGTAATATTCCATGCGAAGACCCAATGATTTTGGTTTTTAAAATATGTTTTGCTATACATTTTTTTTTTTTAAGATCTCTTCAAGCCTATGTCAGAATTTGGTGGGGATTTGCATGAATGCAACAGAACACGATCTGTTAATGCAAGAGCATTTCATATTATGGGGATTGCTGATGGACACCACACCCTGTTTAGCACTTCCTTGCGACTTCCTGTAAGCTCTTGGAAGGCTCAGTCCAGGTTTCTGGTATTAGCTGATGGAGTTTCTGATAAAGCCAAGCAAAGCTTGTGGTACATTCTCTTATGCTGGGGTGTGTGGAGTGTGTGCTTGAAATCCAGACTAGAAAGCGCTTCATACTTAGGAGTTTCTTACACAGAGAACAGAATTCCTTTCCACAAGCCTCCTTTTTGTGATTCTGTTGTTCTCCATGCAGAGCTGTAAAGCTAACCTTTGCAGAATGTTACTCTCAAACGAGTCTTTAAAATTACATCCACTGAGCAGAGAAGTGCTAAGCACATGGTTGTCTTTTGTTTCCTGGTGGTGTGCTGATCAGATGAGAAAGACCCATGGGATTGCTGGGCCCCAATGTTGCTGGAGTATTCACACACATTCCCCAGTGGCATGGGAATTAATGATGGGGGGAAGCAGCTCCTACCCTTCTGAGTGAGTGTACAAAGGGGAGATCAGTCTGTTGAAGCAAGAGAAGGGCAGGAGAAAGGAAAAGGGAAGAAAATTCTCTAGCACCTTAAATTTTATTGTTGCATGAAGATAACCTATTTTACACGGCGTGTGAAGGGTTGTATCCAAAATGGGGACCTGTGGTTTGAATACTAATTTACTAGCTAGGATTAATTTGGGGGAACTATTCATAGCTATAGCATCTGCTCTCACCGTCTACAAAGGAGATGCACAAAGCGACTTAACAAGTATAAAAACAACAGTAATCTAAACATTAGCAGCAATAATATGACTAAAAGGCCGGGATTGAAGTGCTGTATTTGACGTGCGATGAAAAAAGAAAGAATGTGAGTCTGATGCTTGTTTTCAGCTTCATAGAGCATGGCTCAGTTTAACTTGCCCACTGGAATATATCCTTTGACTCCACTTTAATTAATTAGTTGTGTTCTGTAAGATTTGATCCACAGAGTCCTTGGATGTAGATGAGGCTTGTACAATGAGTGATCTACCACAACCATTTATAGTGGCCTGCCTTGTGGTTGACAGATAGCCTGTTGATTTCTGCAGCCCTGAGCCTACAGCAAAACCAGGAAGTTCAAAGATTCCTGGCCGTATGACATTTTGTGACTGACAGGCTGGAAGACATATTGTACAGGCCTGATGTATATAGGTTCAAACCCATCCTTTGCATGGTGTTCACCTCATGTGAGATTATTGTTGGCAGCAACTGAGCTGCTCTCAGTCTTCTGGATAAGGTAAAGGTAAAGGGACCCCTGACCATTAGGTCCAGTTGTGGCCGACTCTGGGGTTGCAGAGCTCATCTCGCTTTATTGGCCGACACAGCTTCCAGGTCATGTGGCCAGCATGACTATGCCGCTTCTGGCAAACCAGAGCAGCGCGCAGAAACACCGTTTACCTTCCCGCTGGAGTGGTACCTATTTATCTACTTGCACTGGCGTGCTTTTGAACTGTTAGGTTAGCAGGAGCAGGGACTGAGCAACGGGAGCTTACCCCGTCACGGGGATTCGAACCGCCGACCTTCTGATCGGCAAGTCCTAGGCTCTGTGGTTTAACCCACAGTGCCACCCGCATCCCAGTCTTCTGAATAGCTCTTGTCAAATCTGTTTGTGAATTTCTAAGCAGTAGCCCCATGGCTTAACCCTCAAACATCGTTTGTTGTAAATCTGGTGGCCTTGAGGTTTCTTTCTGCTTTCTGGTGTTTAGGATGTTAAAGCCGATTAAAGCGGGTGTAGCATTAAGACACAAGACAATTAATGCACTTTTCGCAATGGGTATACCAAATGGCCAAGAGCATCCCAGACTAAATGAAGCCATAGTGCCAACTTCTGGCTCAGAGTTGAACATGGACATGTTTGATCTTCATGATATATCCCTGCACGAACCAAAAGTCATGTCATTGAGTCTGGACCCCTTGCGCAAATCTGCCCTGGGTATAAAGAGGCCAGCCAAGGCTGTCCACAATTGGTTCATAACTGGTTTTCTGGAGGAGGAGAGAGACCTGTGAATTAAAATGCAGAGAGAATGTCCAAACTTGCTTCGCTGCTCTCCTGGTGTTAGACCTGTCTTCATCCGAAGTATATGTCCAGGAATCATAAGGCAGCATGTGATGGTAAACAGAGCTGCTACTGAAAAATGTCAGGACTGTGTTGAGTTCCTTCTGTCCTGATGTTGTCATGCTGCATGTTACTGGCTTGGCAAGAAAATGTGCTGCATAATAATGTCAGAGTATGGGCACGCTGCAGTACACATCGTCCTGGAGAGCGAGGAAACTGAACAGGAGTTATCTGGTGAAAACCTTGTGTTCTACTGATAATAGCTCTTTATGGATAAGCATCCCGGGCTCATAATGGTTACAAATTCGCCCTTCAGCTCGGAGGAAAAGCAACTCAGAGGAAATTGATCTCCTCCTCGCCATCTTAACTGCAATATAGTTATAACTTAGCATAATCCCCTTTTTAACCTGCTTAGGTGTGAATCAATGAACCAGGCTTCTGCTTAGAGTGTAAAAATCCACTTTTGTGTGCTGTCCTGTCATAAGAAGGAAAATCCATTCAATTAGCCAAAAACACACGCTAAGGGTGTTTTGCATGTTTGCCCACTGAAATATACTCGGAGTTGAGTGTGGATTTCATGCTCTTTATTCAGCTCATAGTAGTGAGGAATGGAAGTTCCCCCGAAATGTCTGCTTTATATACATTATTTACACAGTGGGCCCCACGTGGTTGGCTAATTCCGGGATTCTTCTGTAGGCCAATCAGGTTGCGGATTCACTTCCACCTGGAGTTGGATTGGGTGGCTCCTGCGGACCAGTCAGACTGCTATATTCTGAATCCTATTGTTCTAGGACCAATCCGCCTGCTGCAATTTGGATCCTATTCAACTCAATACATAACGCTTCAAAACGCTGGGAAACTGCAGCTGTTAAGGACCAAGTCATTAGCAAATACATTAATTTGGTAATATGGATATGGTATAGCATCATATCCAAGGGTTATTTGCAGTTTCATCACTAATTTGCAGCTGGGTGGCTGTCTGTGGGAGAGTGGTGGGACCCAAGTTCATGTGGGGTGTTATCCAGCGAAGTCTTCACATTTGTACGAGAACTTCTGTAGGCACAACAAAACTTATGCTGTACCAATTGAGCTATACCCTCCCTCTCCTCTCTCCCATTTGCCCCCAAATCCTTTTCTGGGGGTTCTCCCCAACCCTCCGGAGGAGATTTCAGCAGCACACAAGGAGAGGAGGAGGGAAGGAAGTTCATTACACAAGCAGAAGTCCTTGTGTCCTTGGGAAGATAAAAACCCCTGGAGTCTGTGCAACTGAAGCTGAACTGAAGCAGGGTGTGATTCAGCCAACTCACCTGTGACTCTGTAAATTCAAGGCTCTGAATTCATTACTCTCTATTATCCAAACCAATTTTAGGTACTATTTTCTACATCTGGAAAGCGTGTATCAACTAATGTGATAAAGTCTTAGGACACAGGCACACTGGAATGTGGGAAATTGCCTTATTCCAAGCCGGACCATTGCTCCACCTAGCTCAGCAATGTCTATACCAGGCCTTCCCAAACTTGAGTCTCCAGCTGTTTTCAGACTACCGTTCCCTTCATCCTTGACTGCTGGTCTTGCTAGCTAGGGATGATGGGAGTTGTAGTCCAAAAACAGCTGGAGACCCAAGTTTGTGAAACACTGGTATACAACAACTGATAATGGCACCCAGGAATTCAGACAGGTGTCTCTCCCAACCATACCTGCAGATGCTGGGACTAATTATTTGGAAGTTACTCATATTCCAGCTAGTTTGGCTTGCGTTTTAACTGAAGAGGTTGTCTGAACCTCATATACAAGGAGTTAAGTAAAATAGCCTCGGACTGGCCACAGGCATAGGTTGCAGAAAACTTGTTCTCATTTCATTTCCCATAATACAACGTTGAACTGTAAACAGAGCCCGTATTCTCATTTTTTTGTTGTGCTATTTCCCCCTACCCCATGCCATGAACAGGGAGTTTGTTTGTGATGCAGGGTTAAAATACGCAAGCCCTTACCTGCAGCTTGAAGTCGTGCGCTCTGAGGTAAAACAAAAGTACCATTTGATTGATTGGGCTGTATAAACTATCCCAAATTCTTCTGACCTGGAAGAGGCACTCTCTGGGACTGTTTACTCAGATTCTTTGACACGCACTTGCCTGGCCTGCAGCGTGATCCTCGTTTCCCCAGAACAGAGTCGGACAAGGACTGCAAATGCATTACGAGGCTCCCAGTCATTCCCCAAGGGGCGCCTTGGGCAAGTCAGCAAGAGGACAGATAAACAGTGAGCAAAAATATACATAGCTTGGATCTAATATTACTTGGCCTGCATGAAGCTTGCCATTTAGTAACAGCAAGAGAGAAAAGGAAGGGCTTATAGTGCAGATTCGTGGATTCTGGGAATTAGAGGAATTATTCCTAGGATGGAGCTGAGCTATACAATATGTTGTAGGAGCTGAAGGCCTAAAGATGTTCTCTCTTTTGGCATAAATGTTGCTGCTGGGTTTCAAGAGCCAGCTTTTTGTATGCTCTGGGCTAGATTCCCTATTATTATTTTCCCTAAGATTAGACAACTTTGCATGAGCTACTGAAATAGACTGCCTGGCACTAATGAAAAATTCTGACTGATGTGTCCTCTCCCCTTCAGACACCCTCCCTGATACTACCATATTTTTTGCTCTATAAGACTCACTTTTTGCCTCCTAAAAGGTAAGGGGAAATGTGTGTGCGTCTTATGGAGCGAATGCAGGCCACACAGCTATCCCAGAAGCCAGAACAGCAAGAGGGATCGCTGCTTTCACTGCGCAGCGATCCCTCTTGCTGTTCTGGCTTCTGAGATTCAGAATATTTTTTTTTCTTGTTTTCCTCCTCCAAAAACTAGGTGCGTCTTGTGGTCTGGTGCGTCTTATAGAGCGAAAAATACGGTAATTCATGATGATTTGTGTCTGTGATGCTATTGGTGCAGTCATATGCAATCCCACTTTCAATATTGCAAAAAGTTTGGGGCGGTCACACCTCTTCATTTTTCAAAAGGTGCCTGTCCCATAACTTCCTGCTGAAAATCTGTGACATTTTGTAACATAGAATCATAGCGTTATAGGGTGGGAAGAGACCCCAAGGCAGGAATCTCAGCTAACGCATCCCTGACAAATGACTATCCAACCTCTGCTTAAAAACCTCCAAGGAAGGAGCGTCCACCAGCTCCTGAGGAAGTCTGTTCCACTGTCACAAACAGCTTTTACTGTCAGGAAGTTTCCCCTAATGTTTACTAGGAATCGGCTTTCTTGTGAGTTGAAGGAACTGAAAAGTGGCTTGGAGCAACCAACTTAGACCTCCTCACACATTGAACTTCTCAGGTAGACTCAAGAGGAACAAAGGCTTGTTTACGTAGTGCCTCCCAGGATGAGCTAAGCCTGGCAAGACAGTCTACTCTGTAGTATTAACCCCTTCGTGCATTAATTAGACTTAAGCGTGTTGGTTATATGAGGCTGGTCATCCCACAGTTTGGACATGAAACACACCAATACCTGAATGCGTAAGTCATGGGTAGGCAAACTAAGGCCCAGGGGCCAGATCCGGCTCAATCACCTTTTAAAGTGCCCATGGACAGTCCGGGAATCAGCCTGTTTTTACATGAGTAGAATGTGTCCTTTTATTTAAAATGCATCTCTGGGTTATTTGTGGGGCATAGGAATTCGTTCATTCCCCCCCCCCATATAGTCCAGCCCCCCACAAGGTCTGAGGGACAGTGGACCAGCCCCCTGCTAAAAAGGTTTGCTGACCCCTGGGTCACTCCAGTCCAACCCCCTGCAATGCAGGAATCTCATCTAAAGCATCCATGACAGATGGCCATCCAACCTCTGCTTGGAAACCTCCAAGGACGAACAGTCCACCACTTTCCACGGGATACCATTCCATTGTCAGAAAGTTATTCCTGATGCTTAGTCAGAATTCCCGTTCTTTTAATTTGAATCCATTGGTTCGCGTCCTACCCTCCGGAGCGGGAGAAAGCAAGCTTCCCCCCCTTCCATGTGACAGCCCTTGAGATATTTGAAGGTGGCTATCATATCCTTTCAGTCTCCTCTTTTCCAGGCTAAACATACCCAGCTCCTTCGACCTTTCCTCGTTTCCAGACCTTTGGTGACATTGGTTGTTTCCCTTCCCTACCGCAGAATTCTCCAACTACTCCTGCCCTTTTAGAAACAGCAACCTGAGGCACACATGCGATTAATATGCGAGCTCCCAACCCATCGCTGCAGATCTCCATGCCAAGAAAAACTTCACGCGCGGGTGCATCAGGGTGCTGTTAAAGGCATGGGAACAGGGCCAATAAAAACATGGCTGTCTTGGGCGCACCTAGCAATTGCATTGCCCTTGCTCTGCATCTAGCGCAGACTGTGGAAAAAGAGCTCCAAAGCTGTGATGTCATTGCTGCCAGAGAGCAAACGAGGACAACGATCCTGCAGCTGTTGTAGTTGTGAAGAAGAGTACTGGCTTTCTCACCTTGTCATGCAAGCAACATCTGCTGGAATTCTCTCTCCAGCATGTGCATAAAAGGTTCAGGGGCCGTAACTCAGTGGTAGGATATCTGTCTTGCATGTAGAAAGTTCCAGATTCAATACTCCGATTGAGGTTGAATCCTGACAAGACAGAAGTACTGTTTTGGGGGGACAGGAGGAAGGCAGGTGTGGAGGACTCCCTGGTCCCGAATTGGGTAACTGTGCCCCTGAAAGACCAGGTGCGCAGCCTGGGAGTCATTTTGGACTCACAGCTGTCCATGGAGGCACAGGTCAATTCTGTGTCCAGGGCAGCTGTTTACCAGCTCCATCTGGTACGTAGGCTGAGACCCTACCTGCCTGCAGACTGTCTCGCCAGAGTGGTGCATGCTCTGGTTATCTCCCGCTTGGACTACTGCAATGTGCTCTATGTGGGGCTACCTTTGAAGGTGACCTGGAAACTACAATTAATCCAGAATGC